AATCGAACCCGCGCCCATTTCGGGGTATAAAACCTAAACGAATTTTTTCGCCTAATGGCCGCATTATCGCGCGGCGGCGGCTGTGATTAGAATAATAAATTAAGGGAAAATAAGCAATATGCTCGAACTCAGCTTTTCGAGGAATTATATTTTTCACAAATCACAAATGGAGATCCGAAGGAAATTTGATTGGCTAATAAAAAGCCTGGAATAGGACGATATTTCTTACTTCAGGCGGGGAGATGAGTCTAATTTCGGTAATACCGAAGCTATGATCATTTCGGAATAAGCCACTTTGTGAGGAGCGAATCTTCTCTCAAATTACTTTCCCCCATAAAATGGTCTCTTCTCTTTTTCTCCTGAAATGATGGAGTGATTACAGAAATAACTGGATGTCATCTGAAGATGCGACTCTCTTGTGTTGACTACAGAACATAAACATTTACCCCAAAACGAACTGCTGCGGCTGTAGTTTCAATAATTTAACTCCAGACTCTTTTGATAGATAAATGTCACGCCGTAATATTCGTTGGGATAAAAACTACTTAGATTTGTGGATTTAAATATGATGGATAGAGTGCGGATACAGCTTCTTCTGGTTTTATTATTATTATTTTTAAACACTTTGATAAGTTCTCCGTCTCCTCACCCCCTCGCTGGGAGGATATTGTCTACGCCAACCTTTATATATATATCTATTTTTAATTCTTTTTTTTTTTTTTAAGTAACGGAGCAGCAAATATTTTGTTTTCAACTGATTTCTGCGGGTTTTTCTGGGGCGAACGAGCACGAACCGCTCCTGTGACGGCAAACCAGGGGGAGAAAATATCCCTTGTTGGAAACGCCGCATAAATATCCCCCAAGAAAAAAAAATAAATAAATAAACCAAACAACCCAACACGCTTTTTCAGCATAAACCACCGGTTTATGAGCAATAAACCCGCTTACCTTCCCTGCCTGCCCCTCGCCACGGAAAGGTCTAGAATAAGCCTTATTGCTGCGGGTTTCTGTATTTATTGGGACATTATCGCGGGTTCCTGAGCCAAGGGAACCTCCCGCGGTTGGGATTTGGGGCGTTTGGGGAGTGGGGAACCCCCGGGAGCTGCTCCCGCTCAGCCCCGTCCCCGGAGCCGCCCCCGCTCGTGCCATTTTCGGCTCTTTTCCCCCCTCCCCAGCCCCGTGGCAGAGGAAGGGGCTGCCAAATTTGGGGCTGGAAGGGGCAAAAAAGTGGGTTTGGGGGGCGCCCGCCCGAGCGTCGGGTCCCTGCGCCGCGAAACTTCGCCGTTTCTCCCCGTTTTTCCTGTTTTTATTGTTATTTTTTGAACTCCTTTCCCTTCCCCGGACCTCCTGGGCAGAGAGTCCGGCGACTTCGAGCCCCGGGGCGTTTGAAATCCTTGAAACTCGGCGGGGTTTTTTTGGGGTTCAGAAGGTCCGAACCCCCCCGGAGGAGGCTCCAGAGCCCGCTCAGCCCTTCCCTGCCCTATCGGGCTCCACATCCCAAATCCCGCCGCATCCCTGGGCTGAGGTGATGCTCCCTCTATCAGCGAGGGAAGCCAAAAAAAAAAAAAGGGAGACAGAGACAGAGCCGGTTTTCGAGATCAATAGACCCCCTTCAAGGAGATGACGCCGGTGGGAAGGGAAATATTTAAATATTTCGGGAGTTCGTCCCCCCCCTTTGGAGGAGCAGAAAGACCTGGAGGCACCAGCGCTGCGTTTGGCTGTGGAGGAGATCAAAATGCCATCAAACGGGATGAGAAAGAGTCAAAGGGAAGAGAAAAGAATAAAAATGCGAACCCCTAACAATGGGGAAAAATAGTAGTAGCGGTAATAACGATGATAATCATAATAATAACAGGAAAATCAGAGGGTGTGTTAGGTTAGGACCGGTGTCCACGGGGAAGAGAGGTCGGAATCCGAGGGGAAAGGGAAAAAAAAAAAAAAAAGGA